TCATTGAAAAGAAAGAAAAGCCAGGAACAGTGGCTTGTGCCTAGTCCCATAAATCAAGAGGCTGAGGCAGGAGGATCCCTTGAGCTTAGGAGTTCTCTCTAACCAAACTGGGCGACATGTCCAGACCTCATTCAGAAAGAAAAGGAAGGGAGGGAGGGAAGGAAAGAAAGATGGAAGGAAGAAAGTGAAGAGGACAGACAGATGTGAGTGGGGGAAACATGAGGTTAAGGAAATAATTCTATAAAATGGGCCCATTGTGCTGACCCCCACATGGTTTATATGTATTTTTTAATTATTATTATTTTTAGTTGTAGTTGGACACAATACCTTTATTTTATTTATTTATTTTTATGTGGTGCTGAGGATCGAACCCAGCAGCTTGCTCTTGGCAGGCAAGCGCTCTACTGCTGAGCCACAACCCCAGCCCCTTGGTTTATCTTTTAAAAAGCAATTTAACAGAAACCCTGCCTGACTTAGGTTGAAAGAATATGTTAAATTACTCAGCAAACTACCTGAAGAAAAGCAGGCCCTGAAATGCTAATAAGAACACAGTTACCCCCAAAGGAGGGTGGGGTAGACTTCTGTGACCCTTACACAGACCAGATCCTGGGACTCAGGGAGATAGGAGAATTCCCCCTAACCATAACATCTGTAAGAACAGATTCCAATTAAACTTGTCAGCATGGGCCAAAGTGATCTAGAGTTGTCATGGCAGTATAGACTTAAAGGTCTGATGTCATCCTGCTGTCAGTTAAAAGTGAAGAAATGGACCTGGGCTGGACTCTCTGGAAACTTCCCAGAGGGCAGGAGAGGCATGCCATCCCTCTCTTCTCTGAGAGGACCCACTCTCTCCCTTGAGAGTGCCCCCTCTTCTCCTTTTCTTTTTCTTTTTTTTTAAATTGGTACTGGGGATTGAACTCAGGGGCACTTAACCACTGCACAACACTCCCAGCCCTTTTAATTTTTTAATTTTGAGACAGGGTTTCACTCAGCTGCTCAGAGCCTCACTAAGTTGTTGAGGCTAGTTTTGAACTTGCAATTTTCCTGCACCACTGTGTCTGGCTCCTATCCCTTCTAATAAACTCATGCCTGTTACTCTGAGTGACATGTCTGGAATCTTTCTGACTTCATCGCAAGAATCTGGGTTTGAAGGGAAGCCTTCACACTGCCTCAGTTTTCCGGAAGGCCCTAACCCTGTAATTGGAAAGAAGGAAGGGAAAGGGAAGAAAAGAAATAATGGGCCAGGAAGCTGCCTTAATCAACAATGTCCTAGACCAAGGGAATGATCCCCAGGGAATAAGCGCTGTAGTGCAGAATGATGAAAAGAGAGGCCTTCGAGAAAATCTCAAACTCCCCACAAGGCTAAAAATTGTTGTTTCTGAAACCCAAACTAGAAGACTGGAAAGTTTAAGACAAGAGTTTGAAGAGGCAGTCAAGGTCAGATCTTAAAGTGCCCTAAGCCTCACATAAAGGACAGGAAAAGAGAGTCCACTGAGGTATTTTAAGTTGGGAAATATCTGATCTGACAAGAGGACTTGGAATCATCTGCATGTGAGCAGTAGAAAATGGGAGTGTATGAGATTGCCCAGGATCTTAGGTTGCAGAAAAGTTAACCTTTTAGGGATCTGTGTTCTCTAGGAGAATGTGATGAAAGGTATAACTCTCCAGAAAAATGCATGTTAAAAAAATCACATAAGGGGCTGGGGATGTGGCTCAAGCGGTAGCGCGCTCACGTGCGGCCCGGGTTCGATCTTCAGCACCACATACAAACAAAGATGTTGTGTCCGCCGAGAACTAAAAAAATAAATAAATATTAAAAAAAAATTCTCTCTTTCTTTCTCTCTCTCTCTAAAAAAAAAATCACATAAAATATAGACAATTTTTAGGGAATCCTCAGATTAAGAATCTTTGATATAGAGGGGGAAGAGAAATAGACTGAGGAAGAAGATATTTAAGGGATTGGAAGAGGATAACAACAGCAGGAAAGGAGTGAAAGAAAGATGACCCAAGAGACACAAAATCAACTGGGTGAGGTGGCGCTTGCCTATAGTCCCAGAGCGACTCAGGAGGCTGAGGCAGGAGAATTGCCAAATTCAAGGCCAGCCTTAGGGGTTTAGTGAGAGGCTGTCTCAAAAAATAATAAGGACCAGGGGCTGGGACTGTGGCTCAGTGGTAGAGCACTTGCCTAGCATGTATGAGGCACACTAGGTTTTATCCCTGGCACCACATAAAAAAATAAAAATAAAATAAAAAGGACTGGGCATTACTGGTGGTGCATGCTTTTAAACCCAGAAGTTTGGGAGGCTGAGGCAGGAGGATCACAGGTTCAAAGCCAGCCTCAGCAATTTAGCAAGATTAAGCAATCTAGAGAGACCCTGTCTCAAAATAAAAAATAAAAAGAGCTGAAGGTGTGGCTCAGTGGTTAAGCATCCCTGGGTTCAATTCCTGGTACCTAAAAATAAAATTTAAAAAATTTTAAAAACATTGAGGATATAGCTCAGTGATAGAAATCCTGGGTTCAATTCCGAATAGCATCAGAAAGAGAGAGAGAGAGAGAGAGAGAGAGAGAGAGAGAGAGAGAGAGAGAGAGAGCTGAGCCTAAACTGTCAGTAAGCTATGAGAGGATAAAGATTCAAGGAGGGTATATCAACAGCATTGGAGGGCACAGAGAGTTTAGCTAAATTCAAGATTAAAACATTTCTTTTACAATTATAGTTCAGAAATCACTGGTAACGGTACTGAGAATAGTTTCTAAGGAGAGATGGGTACCAGTTTTTATTGTTGTTGTTGAGCTTTTCTCTGTATGTAAAACCAATCTCCTCTGCTTGGCTCATTGTGATGTTTAATCTTTTCTAAAAAAGTGTTGCCCAAATATAGGGTAGAAAACAAAGCCAGTTAAGATCTTTAAATTGCTGCAATTTTTGTCCTTTGATCATGTGTAACTTTATTAAAAAGAGGAGGGCAGAAGGTGTAGCTCAATAGTAGTTCCAATACTTAGCACATGCAAGGCCCTAGGCTCAATTCCCAGCACAAACACACAATACTTCAAAAAGAAATTTAAAAAACAGAATAGATTTACAACCATTAAAGACACTGAAATAAAGGAATAAAGTTCTCCTCATGAAAGTGGGACAGTTCTTAGCATTTTAAATGTATTTTTAAAAATCAGATTCAACAATCATGTCTGCCTGCCTGTATTGCTTTTTTCTTTTCTTTTTTTCCTTTCCTTTTCTTTCTTTTTTATTTCTTGTTGTTTTTGAACTCATGGGCTCCAGGAATCTTCCTGCCTCAGTCTCCCAAGTAGCTGAGACTTCCAACACCACTCCTGGCTTGTACTTCTTATTCTGTGGGAAGCTCTAAGAAGCCACAGGAAGTATCTATGAAAATTCACTGTTGTCCCAAGCCTAGCACAGTCCTGGCACAAATGAAACTTGCACTAGCCAATTTTCTTAAGACCCTTTAGAATAAAAATCTGCTTGCAGAAAATGTTTCTCCCTATGACATTGTCTCTCAAACAACCTAAATCAATTACTTCTGAAACACTGACATTTACCCTTTGGCTCTTTTGTTAATAATGCCAAAGTAAGTTATTAGAAAATTTGGGAGATAAGCATTTCCCAAAGAGCCTGAATTCAATTCAGATATTTGAAACATTTTTCAGCAATTACCATGCTACTTAAATGTGTTCCTTCACCCATATGGTTCTGACCTGCTACAGAACATTTGAAACATTTTTTTTCCTTTAAAAGCACCAAGAATACTGGTCTTCTAACCATGACAGTAGGGCTCTAACTCACATTTGTGGTATAGAGAAATTAGCTTTGTTTTTATTTTATTCAGATATTCTACAGAGTCTTTGTTTCAGCTGAACACAGGATGTGGGCACAGAACCCAGGAACACTAAGGGGTTAGATGAGGTTTAGTTGTGTCATAAATTTTGCCTCCAAGCACCAGTGGCATACTTTTTGTTGTTGTTGATTTGTTTTTTCTCCTGAGTTTCTGGACCAGTTTTTTTTTTTTTTTTTAATTAGAGCAGCCAAGAAGATAAAAGTGTGTTTTACCTTAGGCAAAAGTGTTTTACCTTAAAGATCTGGCTTCTAAATTCACAGGAGTCTTTCATTCATTACAGCTGTCTAGCCCACTTAAACTCCTGTGACCAGGGAAAGGCAAGCAGCCCCAGGTGGCCTTGATGGAGCTTCAAGGGCACTGCCCTGAAGCTCTGTGAACTTGATTGTTAAAGAAACTTCCTCAGGGTGCACTCAGAGCTAGTCTATCCAATTTTCTAGGAGCTAAACCTGGGTGGGATTAAATGGACCGCAATCTTGCAAAGTCCAATAAAGAATGTGGGAAACAGGGACCCTCTTTTTAAATATCTGCCCCTAAGATTCCAATAAACTACCACAAACTTGGATGGTTAAAAGTGCAGTTTATTTCTCTTTCCTGATCAAGAGGTTTCTTTCTCATTAGATTATGTTCTCATACTTCTAATAAGTCTCAGGATTGAGGGATGCTTGCCCTTTAACAGGTAAGCAGGGGAGGGGCTGGGGCTCTTAAAGCCAAGAACAGCAAGCAGGCTCTGGCCCAGGCTGCCATGGCTAACCTGAGCAGAAAGGACAGCAACAGTCAGGCGGTGAGTGTCAGCAACAAGGTGTCACGATACACAAATGGTAGCCGGTGGTGGTCATGTGTGAAGTGCTTCTCTTCCAACTCCTGGCCCTATTCCTTATTTCTCTCCCTTTGCAGAGCTGGGATGGTGAGATTCAAGGGTGGGGGCTTATGGCAGTCTGAGAACCCAGGGTCTCACTCCTTAATACCTAAGGTCAATAATTCTCTGACCACCTTCTGGGAGAAGAGTGGTTATTTTAGAGAACCATGCCATCCTTACTGACCAGGGGGGGTGTCTCTGGGTCTCTTTCTTGTCCCAGGTTTACCTTCCAGAGGCTGACAATGCTCTCTCAGTGGAGGACACAGACATGCAGAAAGCCTCCCAGCCTGCCAAGATGAAATGCCTTGAAGGTATCACCAAATGGACTATGGTGTCCACATAAAAAGTTCGGGCATACAGAGGCTTGCTGATTTGCTTCCTAAAGGCTTGGGCATCCAGAACAACTGGAAGAGATTCCAAACTCTTCCACATGCTAGCCACATCTCACAGGCACCTAAGATAACTTTTCTGGCTCTTATTTTCCTTATCTACATAGTAATTTATCAACAGATTCATTGACAACCTTGTAGGAACATATACATGTAAAATATCTGTCAGACAGGGTTAAATTACAGGGAGTTGGAGCAGCTGGCACTTCAGTTAAAGAGGAAACAGAAGGGGCTGTTGGGTGGGGGAGAACAGGTGGAGAAAGAAGCCTGTAGAAGCACTCAATGAGGCCACTGAAGATGGGATGTGGGAAGTGAAGGTGTCTGGCACCTGCCAGGTTCTGTTTTCTTTAGTGGGGGATATTTGGGGCACCCTGAGCTAGGGAGGCTGAGAACCCATAGAACAGAGGTGTTGGTTGAAGGCAATTCCAGAGATGGCTTTTGAACAGAAATGGTATTGAATAGCAGCCCCTTAGACAAGACTTCTCACACCTGAGGCCCCACCTTCCACAGATTCACACTTATCCCAAGGGCCTGGCAAGTTCTGTGACCCCTTGGCTCCTGAGGAAGAGCTGGTATCTGCTTCCCAATTGGAAAAAGAGGAAGAAAATGAAGAGGAGGTGGAGGAGGAGTGTCTGGATCCAGATCCAGATCTGGCCGCAGATCCAGAGGAGGAAGAAAATAATCTCCGGGATCCAGCTTTACTCAGTGCTGTCCATAACACACAGGTACCATGGCAGTAACAGGAGGGGAAAGGGTTGTCCTGAACAGTCTGCAGCTCAGACTGTGATTAAATATACCTCTCCTCTCCTCCATTCCTAAGACAAGTTCTGAATTAACATTTTCTATTTCATCCTTGAACCTGATTTAGGGATTCTCTCCTTTCCTCTTTCCTCCTGTCTGCTACTAAAGTTTCTGATGCTGTCCTTAACTTGAAGCCAGGTCTTACCTGGGCTGTGCATCACCATAGGTGAAGGCCCTGCTGCTGCTGATTCACCTTTATTTGAATCCCTTTGTCCTGCTAGTCCATTCCTGATATTTGTTCGTATAAGTAGGGAAGATAGATGAGGACTCTCATATAAAAAGGAGGTAACTCAGACCCTCCTTCAACTACTTCTGAGATAATAGTCTTCCTTCTTAATGGAAAGAGGGAACTTGGCACAGTTGAATTCAAATATGAAGGAGGACTAGGTTGGATATTGAAATGGCTGGCTTTGCTGTCCCCTCCCACATTTCCATGGACACAAGTAAATGTAGAAGACATGACGCCACGAATGCCCTATTGAATCCAAGTTTTTCCTCCTTGCTCAGAGAGGTCTGCTCAGCTCCCCTAGAGTCAAGGCCTTGGGGATATCACCCAGTTCCTTGCACTTTCTGTGGCAGGTGAGTCTTCTCCAGTCTCCACTCTATGAGGAGAGGCATTGAAAGGCACATGTTCCTCACATCACTGGCTGCTGAGGAGTACTTCATCCCGGAGTGTGTTGAGTATCCCTCTGCACAGCTGGGACTCTTGCATTGGTGTCCACCACTGCACACTGTCACATTCATTATGTTCAGTCTACCTTTCTCCATCTCAAGATAAAAACCTCAAATGATGTACATATGGGAAGTAGGAGCAGCTCCATGTAGAGGAGCATGGTAAATGGCAGGGATTATGCCCAGTCAGGGGCACAGATGAACCAGGCATTCAAATAAGAAAGGACAAACTAGATCTCTACTTCTACTTTATGAAACATCTTATCAGAAAAGCAGCACTGAGTTTAGAGCTGGAAAGAGTCCTGCCCTCAATTAACTGAATATTAGGAATATGGCCTGGGAGGGAGGAATCCAAAGATCAGGAAATACTACAGGGAGAACTAGAATGGAATTACAGCTCTGATGAGGTTGTCAAAAAAGACAGATAAGCTCTGCTCCACTGGCTGAAAATAACCTGAGAAGACTGTTACTAAGAGAATAAGAGCCATTGAAAGGCACATGTTCCTCACGTCAGGGACTGAAAGCAGCTTCTTAGGAGGTAATGAACTCTGTTGAAACAAGGCAGGAACCAGTTTGGCTTGAGAGATCCCTAACACAGAAAAATGTGGTTCAAGGGGGAAAAAGCAGGTGAGATGGAAGAGGAACTGGGGCTGAGCAGCATTCTCTTGGTGGAGAGGTCCCTCTTCCAGATCTCCTAATTCCTCTTGGTGCCCAGACCATCTGTTGCCAATTCCTTTCCAGCCTATATTTCCCAGCACCAGCTCTCCAGCCCGGCAATTTGGACCTGAACAGCCCTTACCAGACCCACCTCTCTTCTGCAGCCCACAGACTTCATGCCCACCTCGGCTCAGGTACTGGTTCATGGTGCCCAGGCCCCCAGTGTCAGGACAAACAGAGTTCCTCCTAGAAATATCAGGAGATGATGGCTGAGGAGGGATGGGTGCCACTCTACCAGTTGCCACAGAAAAAAATACTGACAGAAATTTAATAACAGGTCTGAAGCATAGTCCAAGCTCCTCCTCACAGAGGAGGAAATGGAGTGAGGCCCAATGAGGTAAAAATTTGAGGTCGTCTAGTATGGCAGAACTAAGGCTAGGACAATTCTGAAAAGCAGGGCAAAAGATTTCCTACTGTGCTAAGGTTTTTCTACAGCCAAATTGCAGGAAAATACATCTTGGGGGTGTGAGGATTGTGATGTTTCATGTTGGCTTTTTTGAGGGAGGCACATGAATAAATAGGGTTCTCTTTGATGTTCACCTGAACTTACCCTGGGCTGAATGAATGGAAAGGGTGGGCAAGCAGAGACTTTACTTCCACCTAGCTCAAGTTTCCTTTTAAGTCTCCACAGTCATCTGACCCAGCTCCACCCTCAGCATCAACGGATTTTGCTTCAGCAGCAGAGTCAAACGCCAAGGTAAAACCTAGATGCGAAACAAGGTTGAGGGAAGCCTATCTGCATGATGGGTATTCCCCTGTGGCCAGGTATTTCGCCCAAAGCCCCTGCACTCTTGAATTGTTGCCTATCACTGCACCCTGCCCCATCCTTTTCAAAGAGTGGTGAGCAGTAAAATGCTCTGGGAGGTTCACTTTGGCAGGGGTGGGTAGGCCTGAAGGTATATTTCTCCTGGCTCGAAGTCCCCCTGTCAAGAAGCCTTGGTCTCAGCAGTCAGATCCGTATGCTAACCTCATGACCAGAAAAGAAAAGGACTGGGTGATAAAAGTGCAGATGGTTCAGCTGCAGAGTGAAAATCCCCGCCTGGATGATTATTACTACCAGGTGAGCCTCAGGGCCCCAGCCTTTGACCTTGAGCCCAAGTGAGCCAGGACTTCACTCCACTGGTTCAGCTCATGGAGACCATGCCATTCAGATGGGAGAGATGATCACTAAAGAACAGGAGTCATATTTCTCATGTTGACATACCTAGTTCTTTTCCTTCTATTCTACACTTCAGCCAAATAGGATTATTTACAATTGTCCAAACACACTTGGATTTTGTTTCTATCTTTTTCTGAGAATTTCACCTATTTACCTGAAAATATGTACTTTCTTACCTTTGCATCCTTTTGTGAATCTTGTTATAAACATCTATTCTTTTTAGGTCTAAAAGTGCAGGAATCTTATCAATGGTGAAATTCAGTTTGTTGAACAAATGCTTGCAGACACTTTGTTTCCCCCTACTTCCTACCTCCCCTCTATTTGTGCTGCAGACTTTTGTGCGCTTTGTCCAGAGGTTTTGGGGCTATCTGGGCTGTTTTCACTTTCTCAACATCCATGAGCTCCCTACCAACATTCCCACCTTCACTTCCTTTTCATTTACATTAGTTTCAGTTTCTTCCTTTCTTTTTAGTGAGCTTCAAAAATCGTCCCCTTCCTGTCATGAAAGTTTTGTTTTCTTGCCTTTTTGGCATTGCACCTAAATGAAAAAGCCTTACTCAAACTTTTTTCTCCCCCATTAAGAGTTAGTGGCTTTTAGTTTAGGATTTCTCACTTTTAAGACGATGTGAGGGTTGATGCGTAAATCCACAGATGTATAGAACTGGTCCAGAGGCAAGCTGACAATACCTCCCTAGTGCCAGTTCTGGACTTCTTAACCATCAGATAACTGATTTAGGACAGCACAAGTGGAGTCACAAGATTAAAATGGGGAGGGGAAGGACAGGTGATGCATGTACTTTATTGAAGAATGTATGAACAGTCAGATGCTGGAACAATTTTGCTTTCTGGCTCCACTTTGCTCTCTACCTTGTTACGAGATCTGGTAGCTTTAGCTAGCTTTGTTAAGTGCTTGGTATGAGAATCCCAAGACAGGTGACATGGGGCTTAAGGCACTTTAGAATAACTGCTAGGCAATGTGCGCATGGTGGCACATACCTTTAATCCCAGCTACTGAAGAGGTTAAGCCAGGAGGATCACAAGTTCGAGGTTTGCCTTGAAAATTTAGCAAGACCCTACCTCAAAACAGAAAACTGGTAGGTGCCAGAATCATTTCAGCAGGGGAAAAAATGCTGTATGTGCCTCTCATGACTCCTTTCTTGCAGTGGTTCAAATTGAAGGTTCTCTGGGTCAGGTAGCTGCAGGTTCTCTTTGTGAGGAAGGGGAAAACCTGGGATTGTGGCTCAGCGGTAGAGTGCTTGCTCAGCATATGCGAGGTGCTGGGTTTGATCTCAACACCACATAAAAATAAACAAAAAATAAAGGTTTAAAAAAATGCTATATGAGAGACTGCTGTAGAAGAGTAGTTGAGAAGATAGTCACTTATGAGTTTTTTTTTTCCCCCTATTCCCTGGACACACAGGAATATTATCAGAAACTAGAGAAAAAGCAAGCAGATGAAGAGCTACTTGGACAAAGGAAAAAGACTGACTCTCTTAAGCTGATAACACCTTACATTCAGAAAGCAGAGGTTTATGAGTCAGGTAAGATCAGGCTGACTGACTGGCTTAGGTTAGACATCTGAATGGATAGAGGGTGGAATGTGCCTCTCATGACTCCTTTCTTGCAGTGGTTCGAATTGAAGGTTCTCTGGGTCAGGTAGCTGTATCAACATGTTTTACCCCTCGTCGAGCTATTGATGCTGTATGTCATGGAACTCAAGAGCAGGTAAGAGGGCTGGGGTTGTAGCTCAGTGGTAGAGCACTTGCCTGGCACATATGAGGCCCTGGGTTCAATCCTCAGCACCATGTAAAAATAAATAAATAAAGGTATTGTGTCCATCTACAAGTAAAAAATATTAAATAAAAAGCATTATCTTCCCAGAGCCTTTTTCATCTCCATTTGAAAGGTCTAGAATACCCTCATGTTTGAATTCTGATTGTGACCTAAGAGGGAGAAGGCAGTGTACTCAGACTTTGTGTCCAGCCTTTCCAGTTCAGTTTCTAGCTAATCTGAGGCCTGGGCTGCAGCTGTGGTGTGTGGCTGATGGCCAGAGACTTCCTTCTAGGATACAGGAGATACAAGCAGTCAGAGGCTTCGGGTATTATCCCAGATTGAGAAGGTAAGACAGCAGTTCCTTGGGGAGGAGTTCCTGATTTACCTTCAAGAACAGGATATTTCTCAGTTACTTCCTCTTTCTCCTTTCCCTACCCACAATTTTTCAGATGTTCCTTCAGTTACTAAAAATAGAAGAAAGCCATAAGGATGGGCTTCCACTGTCCTGTTACTCCAGACAAGAGAGGAACCAGGTTGAGAAGCTCTTTCAAGCTTTAAAGAGCCAGGAGCAGAACAGTCTGGAGTAAGTGTGGGAGGGCCTCACCGCAGCCCAAGAAGGAAAGGACCAGCAAAGACATGGGGATTGCTGCTGCCCTTCCTTCCTGGCATGTAGTTCCTCTGTGTGTGTGTGTGTGTGTGTGTGTGTGTGTGTGTGTGTGGCTGAGCTCTGAAAATGCTCTCCTCTTCCCGCAGGGAAGTAGCTGATAGCTTCCTGCAGGTTCTCTCTGTAAGGAAGGGGAAAACCTTGGTAGCCCGGCTGCTCCCCTTCCTGCCCCATAATCAAGCTGTTAGCCTTCTTCTGACCATCACCCACAATCTGCCCCTCCTGGTCCGGAGGGATGTGGCTGACCAGGTACTAAGATATTCAGTGGAGAATAGGATGGTCTCCTGCATGATTTAGTGATCCTTCCTCCCCTCCATTCCTGCCCCAGCCCCCAGAGATGCTAACAGGGTTCTGGGCAGTAAAGGGGTGGGGGTGGGACTGTCCCCACCATTCTCAGATAAGGAAATTACAGAATAAACTGTAAGAATAGAAGATCATCTTTCAGGTATGATGTGCAAAAGAAAATGTGTGTATGGTTCCATAGATGGGTGCTGTGGTGTTTTGAAAGAAGATAGGGGCCCCCTGATAAGTGTTGAGCTCCATATTTTCTTCCCTCAGGGAACAGGTGGTACTACAGGACTCAGTGTTAGGGATGGAGATGAATAAATGGTGATAGGTCTAGAAAGTAACCTAGCTGGGAAGGTACCAAGAGCAGGCCAGCAAGGCAAAGGGGCTGGAGGCAAGATAAGACCAGGTGAAGTTATACTGGAGTTTGATAGAAGTGCTTATTGACCTTCTTGCAGGCCCTACACATGTTATTCAAGCCTCTAGGCAAATGTATCAGTCACATGACCTTCCCTGAGCTCCTCCAAGGACTTCAGGGGCTAATGTTGCTACCACCTGGCTCCTCTGAACGGCCAGTCACTGCAGTACTTCAGAACCAGGTACCACATCTGGGAGTCTTTTCTTTCCATGAACAGCTTCCCAATTGGGCGCAGTGATGCACACCAGTAATCCCAGCAGCTAGGGAGGCTAACGCAGGAGGATTGCCAAGTTCAAAGCCAGCCTCAGCAACTTAGCAAGACCCCGTCTCAAAAAAGGGTTGGGGATATGACTCAGTGGTTAAGCACCTCTGGTACCAAAAAAAACAAACACCCCAATACAAATAGCAAAAAGTTTCTTTTTGCTGTTTGATACCTTCCAAGTGGTATTGCTGGTAAGGAATAAGCGAGGGAATGTTTTCCTCTCTCCACATGTCTTGTTTTCTGCAGCACTTCTCAACTTCTATTGAGCACAGATTAACCTGGGAAGCTTACTAAAACACCAGTTTCTTTGTCCTATCCATCTGAAATTCAGGGATGGATGGATGGGTACGCATCTATTTCTCTACCAGACTCCCTCTGTTACTGCTGGTGTGAGCTTCTATAGCAATCTCTAAACTCTTATTTGCCTTTTGTTTTGGTACCAGGGATCAACCCCAGCAGTGCTTAACACTGAGCCACATTCTCAGCCCTTTTTCTTTTATTTAAAGACAGAGTCTTGGGGCTAGGGATGTGGCTCAAGTGGTAGCGCGCTTGCCTGGCATGCGCGGGGTGCTGGGTTCGATCCTCAGCACCACATAAAAATAAAATTAAAAAAAGATGTTGTGTCCACTGAAAACTAAAAAATAAATATTAAAAAATTCTCTTAAAAAAAAAAAAGACAGTCTAGCTAAGTTGCTCAGGGCCTTGCCAAGTTGCTGAGGCTGGCTTTGAACTTACCATCCTCCTGCCTCGCTGGGATTTCAAGTGTGGACCACCACACTTGGCCTTGTGTTCCTTTTAGTAAGACCTTCTAAGTCATTTATAAGTGTGTTTAAAAATCACATGTAAAACTATAATATTAGGTATATAATAAATATAAGATAGAAAGTTTTAAAGGATGAGACTTGAGATGTGAAAGTTCTGATATTGTCTTCCAACATACCAGTGGATTACCTTGTGTACTCCCCTCTAAAGACCTTTGCTTAAAGTAATGCTTCTTAAAGTGGAGTTCACAAACCACCTGTATCAGATTTCTGAATCCATTCCTGATCAATAGACAAGATTCCTGGGTTGGAGCCTAGGAGTGTACATTTAGTCAGCTCATAAAGAGGCTTGTGGAATGTTCGGAACAGCTCAAGATTCCTTGGGAAAGTCACGAATCCTTGGCTAACCAGAATAAAACTTGACAGTTCTTGTGGGTATTGGTCTCTATCTGTAAATGTGAACCTACAGAAAGCACAGCAAGAGAAGCACTAAATGCCTACCACAAACCCATTTTGCCCTCAACTGTGTGTATTCACTTGCAGTTTGGAATATCTTTGCTCTATGCCCTGCTGAGTCATGGGGAACAGCTGGTATCTCTGGACTCTTCCCTAGAGGAACCCATCAGTGATCATACAGCTTGGTAAGATCATAAAGGCACATGGATGTTAGTTCAGTATCCTAGGGATGTGTAGGCTGAGCCAGATAAGAGATTTACTAGGTGGCATATTCAAGCATTTCTGAAAGGAGGCTGGGCAGAGAAAGGAGAATTAGCAGGGTTGTAGCTGTTCTGCATTTTACCCCCCTTTCTTATAATGCCCTAGAGAGTTGGTTTTCCATGGAAGGCAGTGTAATGTAGAAATTAAGAGGACAAGCTTTTGAGTTAAATAGACCCAGGTTCGAGTTCTGGCTATGTCACCTGTCAGCAATTTAACTTTGGGGCAAGTTATTCACTTCTTAATCTGTTCCCTCATTTATAAACTAAGGATGATGTTTCTAATCCTTTAGAGCTATTAAGTTTAAATAAGAAGTTGGGTATGGTGTCGCATACCTGTTAATCCCAGTGGCTTGGAAGGCTGAGACAGGAGGATCATGAGTTCAAAGCTAGCCTCAGCAATGGCAAGGTGCTAAGCAACTCAGTGAGACCCTGTCTCTAAATAAAATATAAAATAGGGATGGGGATGTGACTCAGTAGTTGAGTGCCCCTGAGTTCAATTTTTTCCCCCTAGTAACCCCCTCCTTCCCAAAATGAAAGATTTATAAGCCTTAAGCATTGCATACCACATACCAAATTGCTATCTGGGGGCAGGGGTAATGAAGTACTGGTGGAAAGACAAGAAACCTTGTCCTAGAGTCTGTTTCCTGCATAAATATAAAAGCTCTGATGTGTTTCTTCTGTCTTCCAGGACAGACATGGTGGTTCTGATTGCCTGGGAGATAGCCCAAATGCCTACAGCCTCTCTGGCAGAACCCCTGGCCTTCCCCAGCAATCTGCTTCCTCTATTCTGTCACCACGTAGACAAACAACTGGTTCAGCAGCTAGAGGCCAGGATGGAGTAAGTGATAGCAGAAACAAGGTTATAGCCCCTTGCTCAAGCCCAATTTACATTCTCTTTCCCTTCCCTACTTTCTTATAAACTATGAGCATGGAGGATAATGTGCTTTACAAGCAGTTTCAGATATTCTGGCATTTACTGAGTAACCAGTCTGGCCCAAGTTTGGGCCTTATAGCTTGTTTCTTCTGCCAAATTTTATTATTCCTAGGTGTTGGGTCATTTATAGTGCTATTTGCAGGGCAGAAATTAATCTGAAAAGTGAATTCATTCAAGAAACGAGGGGGGGACTGGGTTGTAGCTCAGTGGTAAAGCACTTGCCTAGCATGTGTGAGGCACTGGGTTCTCTTTAGCATCACATAAAAATAAGTAAATAAAAAAAAGGTATTGTGTCCATCTACAACTAAAAATATTAAAAAAGAAATGAGGGGGCAGGAGTTGTGGTTCAGTGGTAAAGCTCTTGCCTAGCATGTGTGAGGCACTGGGTTCTATCCTCAGCACCACATAAAAATAAAGGTATTGTGTCCACCTACAACTTTAAAAAAAATTAAAAAAATAAAAAGAAATGAGGGACAACTATTCTAGGATATAAACATGAAATACATAGAGGTTATCTTTGTCCTCAGAATGGCCATCTGCTAGAAAGTCAGGTATTAATTAAATCACACAAATAATTGTAAAATGGAATTACGCTTGTGGTTAACATCTGTTCTCTTTGTAGGCTCACTTGGATCTACTGATCTGTTTGTTCTGGACTACTTATGTGGGAAATTAATCATTAATGATCCAGAGAGTCTTAAGACAGTTCTTATGCATTCATATATTGGAGGATCCTGCCCCAAACATTTTCATATCCTTTCTTAGAATCTAAATGATGTGCCTAAAAATAAGGCATGACTTAAAATATAATTAAAGAGGTAATAAAATGATGTGTTAATTGTTTGTAAGTTAGGAGCTATGATGAAGGGCATCTTATGTGTGAATGTTCCAAGAAAGACCTGACTATAAGTCAGTCCTTGTTATAGCTAAAAAGGTATAACCTGGGAAGTTGCTTCATTATTGCCCCTTTTTTAGCTAAAGAAAATAGCTCAAACGGAGCTAAAAGGATTGGATATAAGCATCTTCCTTTTGGATAAGAAATGTTTGGTTTCAGAGTTCATGATGGTGGCTGAGACAGGAGGAAGGCGAGTTCAAAGCAAGCCACCAGCCTCATCTATTTAGTGAGGCCTTAAGCAACTAAGCAAGACCCTCTCACAAAGGACTGGGGATTTGGCTCAGTGATTAACCAACTATTTTGGTTTCATTTTGACAAAATTATGCATTCATCAACAAACAATGGAGAGCTTTTTATGAACCAGGCACTGTTTTAGGCAGAGGGTAACAGTATGAGCAACACAGCGTTCCTGCTTTTTTAAAGTTTACATAACCGGCTGGATAGGAACTGATGCAAAATATCTAGTAATAAGCATCATGGGGAAATAAAATCGATGATTAGAAAGTAATTGGAATGAAGGAGCCTTTAGGTTGAACCGTCCATAAAGGTCTCTCGATACAAGTTAAAGTGAAATGTTCTGAATATGAAAATTAATGTGTTAAAGTACTGCTAGTAAGAGACCATCCCCAGACGCCTTCTTAATATGTCCTCAACCCTCATTCTTCTGACGATCTTGTACCATACTTCCTCAGTAAAGCATAAATAATGAAATAGGAGCTCCACCATCTCCAGCGTTTAAACTTACCCGTTTCCAAGTTACAATGGTTATTATTTGACCTCAACATTCAGGTCTACCCTTTCATGATGGATTTGCACTGTAAGACTTGGTTATTGCTACCAAGGAAATGGCACCACCTCAGAGCCTGTAAACAAATAATGGCATAAGAGGAGAAGTCGGGACCGAAGGAGCAGGAAGCGACTAGACTAAGTAGCTAAGGGTAATACCACAATGAGAACAGCTGCAACAGCCTGCGTTAGGCGGCTAAATCAGGCCTTCGTGCATTTTTGTGGTTAAGCGTAAGAGTGAAAGGCAGCTGTGGTCGTACTGGAGCTCCGCACCGCCTGCAAAAAGCAAGGAAAGTCAACTGGCTAGAAACAGCCCAGAGCTTCTGGAGAGAATCACGAGGCGGCACGTGAGCGGCGCGAGACACTGCGCATGCCTGAGACGCAGTCAATTCCTGAACACAGGTGACCGGAAGGAACGGCTTGACGAAGATGGCGGCGAAGCAAGAGACCGGAAGTGCTGCTTTCTCCGGCGGTAGCTGCCGCGCCGAGTCCATGGAGCCAGTCTTACCTATGCTATTGGTGCCGGTCCGCTCCGAGGCGATCGAGCGGCTGGGATCCCGAGCGCAGATGCACAGAGAGCAGGAGGTTCTAGGGAGCTTGACGGCCGCGGGCAGCCTCCAAGTGCTTTCCTTGGCACCCGGCGGCCCGGGTGGGGGTGGCTGCTGCCTTAAGGGTCCTTTCGGCCAGTAAGTGCGGCGGTAAAGCTGGGCAGGGTGGGAGTCCGAAGCCTTAACTCCGGTGGCCGCACCCCGCGGGGTCAGAGCTAGACCCTCTCTCAGGATGGGGGTGGTGGAAGAGAGGTGATTGTCGGGGGAAGCGCCTTAGGCGAGCACTGTTCCCTCTCAAACATTTTCCCGGACCCAAGGCGAAAAGCTCACTTTCCTGCATCTCCACACGCAGCTTTCCGGTTGTGGGTGGGCGGAGAGGGTATCCAGCGCCTCTGCTAGTTGTGGAACCCGGAATGGGTCCTGGTTTAGGCGCTGATTACTTTCATTGATTCAACACAAGTTGATTATTTGTCACAATGCCAAGATGCTAGCCAGGGATTATCTCTAATTTGAATCATCCTATCTATCTATCTATCTATCTATCTATCTATCTATCTATTTATTTCTGAAGCAGCAGTTATCTTAACAGATACCCCCCTGCACCACCACCACCAACTCTTCCCCGTCCCCTTAACTTTCAGAGAGAGCCTACTTTGTCCATTCACTTACTGATTTGTTTAATGAAGAGTTATATAGCTACTGTTACCTAGAAGCAGTGCATGTAAAGTTGCATAAGGCACCATTCTTACTTGTGAGATAGATGCTCCCGTGACTGGGGAGGCAGACTTGGAAGAAAAAAAAAAAAAAAAAAAAGGATTCTTTCCACTTATTTTTGGTCCAGGATGTACAGTTTACATCATAAAGTTTGAGTGTCCTCTGAGTATTTGACTACATTTTTAAATAATAGAAAATATCTTAGAAATGATCTCTTTTAATGCTGGGTGCAGTGGCACACGCCTATAATCCCAATGGCTAGGGAGGCTGACACAAGAGGATCGCAATTCAAGGCCAGCCTCAGCAATTTAGATCCTGTCTAAAAAAGGATTAGGGATGTACCCCAGTGGTAACATGGCTCCTAGACTAAATCCCCAGTTAAAAAAAAAAAAAAAAAAGTTTTTTAAAGACTTAGAGTAGCAATCTTGAGATTTCAAGGTGAGACATCTCTTTGCTACTCTCACCTTGAAATCTCAAGATCCTGTAACAACACCTGACAATTAGAGATTAGTTTGTGAAATCAGTAAATGTTTTAACCTGTTCTGTTTGCCTGCCTTATTTTGCCTCTGGCTGCTAGGAAGAATAATCTCTCCATAAGGGAAGTTAGTTTATTCAACAGTATCAAATACCTGTGAATGCAGCAGAGTAAAGAAATGGGGTGGAGAAAAAACCAGAACTCTACAGGTGTTATGAGAGCCTATCAGAGGAGATAAGAATAATTTGGGTATTCATATGCTGGCTCATGAATTTAAGAAATGAGGATCAAAAAGGCTGCTTTTCAACTTTATTTGAATTGAATTTTAATTCAGTTAAGATACTTTCTAAGGTAAAAACAAGGACAAGTTTGTAGTGAAGTTTACTTCGTACTTTAAATATGTAGTTTTTTTGCATTATTGAAATTATATTTTATTTTCATCAAAAATTTCCTTTCTCCAAGTGGCAGTATAGTCATTCTGTGTGCTAATAATTTTAATGTTACAGAATCATCTGTATAAAATACAAATTTGATTAACTTTTTTCATTGATATTTTCCATATTTTCAGTGTAAACAAATTGAGCATTAGTGAAAAACCCATCAGTTTGGTTGTAAAGACAAATGGAAACATTGTTAATCTTATCTAATAAAGACATAATAGCACCACTCCTACTTGATATAAAACTTTTGTAGAAAAAGGAAGCTTTTAAAAAGGAAACTATATCAGCTTGGTAGCCTTATCTTTTCTATTGCCTTGTGTTGGGCGCTTCTTTCTTTTTGAGAATAGGGTCTTGCTTTGTTGCCCAAATTGGCCTCCAACTCCTAGGCTCGAGATCCTCCTGCCTCAGCCTTCTGAGTAGCTAGGACTAGAGGTGTATGCCACTGCACCTAGCTTGGGCCCTTTTATTTTTACCTTTTAAATGTAATTTAATATTTGAAACTATAGCATCATTAGTTTTCTAAACTTGTTAACCAGTGTTGATATTTTTATGTCACAGTACTTTAAGAATTCTATAACTGTGCAGTCTAGTATGGTATCCGTAAGTCACACGTGGCTGTTAAAAATTCATTTTATCAGTTGCACTACCCACATTTCAAGGGAACTGTAGCCATTTCTGGTTATTGATAACTATCTTAGGCAGCAGTTTGTATTCCGTTTTCACACAAAATTGTATTGAACAATTGTTATATGCCATTTTGGAGTCTTTAAAGTCTGTGGATACAAAGAATCACTTTTGTTTTTAACATATTTAAAAAACATTTACCTGCTGGATGTGGTGGCACACATCTGTAATCCCAGTGAGTTGGGAGGCAGGCAATAGGATCATAAGTTTAAGGGAAGCCTCAACAATTAGCAGACCATGTCTCAAAAAGGACTGGGTGTGGCTCAATGGTAAAGTGCTCCTGGATTCAATCCTCAGTACCAATAAAAGATAAAAACCAAAAAAAAAAAATTTAGCCCAGCAAAAGTCTATTAAGCACCACCTCATAAATAATATACATATTTGATTATTGATACTTATTCTTGATCATAACAGTTTCTTTAAACATCAGGATTTAAGATGAAAGAATAAAATGAGGCAGCATTTCTTGCTCCATGGCCAGAGGGAGCGAGGGTGGCAAATCCTGGAACAATTTATATTCTCTAAGTTTGAATCTAGAATTGATGCTACCAAGTGAAGTAACTATCCCTACTATTTTGGATAAATATGATTGGATATAGAATATGATAAATCTAATCTTTTTCCTTAGTTTTGTATGGGAGGACTCTCATAACGGCACTTCAACGGACAAACCCAAACTGCTCGCTTTTTGTGAAAATTATGAACTGTTAATTTATGAATTTAACTTGAAAGATGGAAGATGTGATGCAACCATATTGTACAACTGCAGTGGGAAGACACTGCAAAAGCTTATTGAAGAGCAAGGAGTCAGTAAGTACATATATGTGGTCTTCCAGCATGCTTAAATTTGTGACATTACCTTGTATTCTTAGATATTTCATGAAAATGTCTCAGGTGAAATCAGGGAGGGAGGTCTACACTGTCTACTATAGTAGCTACTAACTACTTGGGGTATTAAGCACTGAAATGAGGTTAAAACAAAGATATACTTTAAATGTCATTTATGTACTAGATTTTGAAGATTTAGTACTTTTTAAAATATTTTTTAGTTGTAGTTGGACACAACACCTTTATTTATTTATTTAAAATATTTTTTTATTTTTTAGTTGTAGTTGGGCACGATATATTTATTTTATTTATGTATTTTTATGTGGTGCTGAGGATCAAACCCAGGGCCGCACACATGCAAGGCGAGCGCTCTACCGCTGAGCCACATCCCCAGCCCTGAAGATTTAGTACTTAACACAAAAAATTGTTAATGTTTTACTTTTTTTTTATATATACACACACACACACACTAGGAATTGTACCCAGGGGCACTTAACCACTGAGCCACATCCCCAGCCCTTTCTAATTTTTATTTTGAGATAGGTTGTTGCTCAGTCGCTGAGACTGGCTTTGAATTTATATTCCTCCTTTCTGAGCTTCCCAAGCTGCTGGGATTACAGGTGTGTGCCATGTGCCCAGCTAAAATTTTACTTTTTAAGTACATGTTGAAATGATAATTTTGGCTATAATGGACTAAATAATGCATACTAAGATGAATTTCACCTCTTTTCAATGTGGCTGTGTCTCATTTATTGTGATTCATACATTTTTATTGGATGGTGCTAATCTAGACTGCTTATAGAGCTATTGACTTTGTTTTTCTGAATGGTTACAGGAGCAAAAATTAAAGCATGCAGGTTTCTATTTTTAAAGCAGTAACAAACTCCCTGTCCTTGAATTGTAAGTTTTCATATTTTTTCCTTAAAAAAGATTTCTGATCTGTGGGGTCCAGTGGGCAAATTGGCTTTTTAAAATCTTCCTCCTGTTGTGCTGCCAGACTGTGGCCATAAACAGAAGAAACCAGGGACATTGTAGGGCATCTTTATTTGTTCCTTTACCCACCTCCCAGTGACCACTTGCTTAGATGAGTATGAGTAATAACTACCTTGAGTTTGAAGTAAGTTTAGTTTTTTTTGTTTTACCTGTTTTTGTTTATAAGATCAAGATTACCAATTGTAAAATTGTGAGCAATGAATTTGAAATAACATCCTTTTATTTCATAGGTATTTCCTTACTGTCTTTGAGGATTCTCTCATTTAACAATAATACATCATTATTGTTCATCAACAAATGTATCATCCTCCATATCATGTTTCCTGAAAGAGATTCTGAAATCAGAGTACTCAGCTGCTTCACATTATCCTTGCCTACACAGACAGTGAACACGATTATTGACATGCAGCTCTGCAGAGGAGTTCTTTTTGTTTTGAGTAGTTTAGGCTGGATCTGTATCCTTGGCAATAAATATGTTAATTCATATGTAGAGAAGGAGAATGTCTAGAAAGACAAGCCTTTTAAGCTTGTAGTTTTGGGGACTGAGTATATGGAGAATGGTTGGTTTTTCAGTAAAACTTTTCAGAGAAAAAAATTCTCATAAACTTAAAATATCAAACCATATCACTTTATATTCTTTTGAAATATTTGCTAAGGTATAGATGTATT